CCCCAAAACCCCAAAACCCCAAAACCCCGTATATGCAAGATATCATAGACTGTGAAAAATGGCAATTTATATCTTATCGAATAACAATTTAAAACTTAGTCTATAATAATCATAATTGTAATATCTATGAAATGTTATCTTCATCTTAAATATAGCCAATAATTGAACACTTGCTCTATCTTAAATCAAATAGCTCGATAGATTTAACATTTATCAGTTTTTGCTGATTATTTCTATCTCTCATCATTTTCTAGCCTCCCATAATCATAATTGTGTTGTTATTTTAATCATACATACAGCCAAAGTTTTATCTTGGCTCATTCATATTGCAAATCAAACTACTATAATTTTGCTTAATATCATATATTTCAATCGATTCCAAAACTTTTTGCCCATCATTTCCTCCAGAAATAATAATCTTTCCTTCATTGCTAAGTAATAAAGCACAAAATGATTTTCTTTTTTATTAAAGCTAACCTACTAATGCCCATTTATCTTCATAAATTCTTTTTTATGCATTGAATTTCAGTCTTAGCAATTTATCTGAAACTATCTAACTTTCATTGCTACCTTGATAGGAAATAGATTAACCACCAATAGCATAAATATCTAGATTAATTGGATCTATCAGTAGTTGATGACACATTAGACCAGTTTCAAATTATGCTAGATAATTTTTCTTTGGGTTTTAATCATCTTAATCTAAATAATTCAAATCGTACATTAAATTCTCTTTTGAAGGTTTTCCATTTTGGTAATAACCTCCAGAGATGTAAAACTTCTTGTCAACAAGAGCTTTCGAGAACTAATGAGTCAATTTATCTAGCTAAATACTTAGAGCAGTACGACTATCAAAATCTATGAAGCCATTACTGTTTAATATTGAAATGAACTCGAGATAAGCCCCGTTTATTGTTAGAAGTACATTCATTCTTTAATTCATAGAATCTTGCACCAATTAATATAAGTTCTTCACATTCATTACTCTAAGTTTTTACTTTTTCTGCTCGAAAATGTGTTTATTATGCAGTATTTACCTTGAATAGATTTAATTTGCTTCACTCTATCCTTGTAATGACAGAAAATTGAATTCCTGATAGATTAATACAGATGGTTCTTTTTAATAATTAATGGGGCTATCATAGAGCTTAATGGAAAAATTTGACTTGTTTTGTCTGAGCTAATTAAGTTAGGCGAAAGTCCTCTTTTACTCTGAATTTGAAGGAAGAAGTATGCTCAATTTACTTTACTCTCCGACTTTTATGCCCTCTTCAAATTAGCTCACATAATTGTCTTCAGCAGAGTTAAATTAAACATCGTTTTCTATTTTTTTAGTTTTCTAGCAACTCTTGACAGATAAGAGGCTAGTGTAATTATTTTTGCTTTTAGTATTCTTCTAATTTTTAGTATGATTACTCAAAGTAGAAGTTAGACCAGCATCTCTTACAGGACTGGAAACTTGATTCTCAAACCATCTTCTCCTCGGAGAGAAAGATTGTAAAAGCTTGCTATGAGTCGTAGACTTAGATAGCTTTACTTTATCAGGAGACTATGAAGAAAGTTTATCATTAGTATTTTGATCCAAATCAATCATTCTCTTCTTAATGGAGCTGTTAAGAGCTTAAGCAGGTAGTATATCAGATTCTTCGTCAGCTACGTCCTCGATAATATCATTGACTTTTGTTTTAACATCGAAAGTCGCGCTATTAATATTTGATAAGTTTTTTTTATGTTTGTTAATATTATGTCGGCCATCACTTTGTACTTATTCTTTTAACCTTTAATAATTCATTAGCAGCTAATTAGATGAAGACTTTTTATCTTTCAATAATGTTTAGAGAAGAGGGTCTTTGATTTGACGACCACTATGCTTTTTAGAGTGATGAGAATTTAAATAGTGATTTAACTACAAATTTGATTGACTAGAGATTTTTCTCCTTTCATACTGATTCCTCTTATAGGATAATGAATTTTGACTAATTAAGGGCTGATCTGCAGATGTTTTAATTATTGAAGTTTGGCTATTCCTAATTGACTTGTTCCTTTGTTTTGAATCACTTTTCCCATTTAGATTGTTTATGATAGATCTAATGTTTTAGGGAGAGTTTTGACTAAAGCTTCCATCATTTACCATTTTTTGTGACTTAATATTTGCCTTATTTGCTGTTGAAGAAAATCTTTTATTGCTTGAAGAATTATTTAAATTTGGATTGCTATCATTAACTTAGGTCTTTATCAATTATGTGTTATTGAAAAAGGACTTTGCTAATTTATTGGTAATAGACATTGACCCTCTGTCAACATAGACTTGATTAATTTTGCTAACTCTTGATTAAGAATTACTTGCAGATCTCTCTAGGTCTCTTCTTAAAGTTTGCTCGAGGAAAGTAGATTAGAGATGCACAGACTTTTTACTGGTCAGCAAATAAGGTTTTAATTTCTTTTAAATCTTTTTTAGTAATTTATCCACGGCTTCTTATTTAATATTCTTGGACTTGATAGAAGTCTTGAAATGTTCAAAATGAGTGAGCTTTTACTCAAAGGAATTAAGAAATTCATCTATCTTTAATTAGGGAATTTTAAGTTATCTTAGATTCTTGAGGTATACATACTTATCTATCTAAGCATAATTCTGTTGTCTAGAAGCTTCTTGCTCATAGTGCTATATGTAACTGCTAAGATCTTATTTAATTTATTATATCTCCTTAAAAATGGTCTTTTCATTTAGAACAGATAGATCTAATGAATCCATAACCTACATTTTGAGACCATTTACAAGTTCCAAGATATTAATGAATACAGTATTTATGTCAATTATAATCCTCTGCATCTCATTTCTATAATTTCGATGTAGTTCTTCAGTATTCCTAGATTATTGCTGAATTGTTAATTTAGTTTCTTAAATATTCATAATCTGCTCATTAATCGTTTGCTTTTGAGTTTCAACTGCTTGATCAAGGGAGACTATTTAATGATATTTGTGAAAATTTGTTATTATGCAATCTATACATAAATCCTATTAGCACTGCTAGCAATAAGCTTCAATTTATTTCACTTTATGCTACATGCAAATCCAAGGCTAGGAAGGGATATAAGAATTCAAGGTTTAATCTGAAAATACTCTGTTTAATGGAGTGATAAGCCTATCTGTGATATCGATTGAGAATCCCGTGCTTTCATTTTTAATTAAGACACTCGGAGTTATAAGTTCAAGATTCGATTTGATTCTGAAGGAACTCACATTCTAAAATGTACTACCTGAATCATTTCTTGAGTCTTCTTATTGAATATGCTTTTAATTCATATTCTCTGAGTGATCTCTACTTTAAATTGGAGTCTTTTTACTTATTTTTGTAAGTTTAATTATTGCTTAGTTAATTGGAAAGTTTTACAGCTGTCATTAGATAATCTCTGCTTTATTGAGTCTTAATTTTATCTCATTAGGGATCTGATTAGGAAAATTGACTTAAGTTTCACATTCATAGCATTAAGGCTTCAAACTAAGTAACTCCACTAAGCAGTTTTAACAGTAGGTATGGCCGCAGTTAATTAGTATTCTAGGTATCCTTGTTTCCTCATCATAGTCTTAGAAGCAATAAGGACATTCAAATATATTGAGCATCGGAGTGTGCTGATTTTCTTTCTGAAATTGCTTAAATGCTGAGTACTGGATCTTCGATTCATGCTTAATAATTGAAGAATTTTAATCCATTATTTCAGTTGACTTTTAAAATATAACTAAATATTTCAATTTTTCATATTTAGATAAATTACAATATTAGGATTGGGGTTTTGGGGTTTTGGGG